TTCACAATCTTTTAATTACATCATTCTAAAAATATTAAAATAATCCAAGAATTTTTTGAAATACTACTTTATGTAAAAATGATTACATGTTTTAAGTCATTTTATAAAAATAAATTTTAAATTATACAGCTTTAAAAAGATTAAAATAATTTAACTAACCAGTTTTCTAAAAAGCTCAATCATTTAACTACTAAAAAAAATGTAACAACTTAATCAATCAACATAAAAGAGTTCAACAAGTTATACAATAAAAAAAGGTTCAATAACTTAATAATTCAAAATGGAACAAACAAATGATTTTTATAAATATCTCATCCATTAAGATAACTAATTATTTATAAAAATTAACTTTTGAATTAAACTATTTGAGGTTTTTTAAAATAATTACAATAAGACTTTAATACTAATATATATATATATATTATAAGTGAAGATGATAAAAATATAAATAAAAATATTATATAATATATGTAAAGTATACATAAAGAGTATATATATAATTATATAATATAACTTAATTAATTAATATATATATATATAATAATAATTAAATATAATATATTATTAAATCGATTTGATGTTTTATAAATTTTAAAGCTATCACAATTCTCAAACATTCAACACCCCCTATTGAGGGGTGCCATTAACACTCCTCAAAATAAATAGTTCCATGGCCATTTTGATTTTGTTGGCAACAATAAAATAAAATGCAATTTCATCATATTAAAAAGATTCATTGAATCATAAATAAAATACGTGTTTTTTTTTAAGCAAAGGGGTGATGTGACTTTCTCCAAATGTAAGATGTTATAACTTAGATTTAGGAATCAAATTTCGTTTGTACAACAATATAGAATCGAAACAAAAACCATATATATATAAGTATGTATATATATATATAGGGGTCTAATCAAATGAGTTAATTAGTTTGTGGTAACTGTGAGAACCAATATTAACCACAAATAATAGATAAATTAGAAAATTTATAATTTTGGCAATTTTGAATTAAAATTTTAATGCAAGTATATTTTTGGTATTTTACAACTTTCCTCCCTCC